TTTTTTTTTTTCGAAAAACATAAAGGGGTGGTGATTTGTAGAAAATTGTAAGGAGAATCCGAAAATATCATAATAAAGCCCTGTATCTCAGCCACTGGAACATTGTTTTTTAAGAAAATGCTTCCGATTTTGTACAATATTTACATACATTCATGTGATTAATTTCAAATTATTTCACTCACTAGTTTCTAAAATGTTATAAAAAATTAAAAATATTAATTTAACACTGGATTGTTTTAGTGAACCGACCTAGACAAAAACTTTATATGAAAGACCTACCTTAAAATTCACTAAAGAATTCGAGGTTTCATTTTTTGTCACTGTTTGTAAATCACCATGTAGTTCATTTGTAAATTGATGTCATTGGCAATGTTTCACGTATAATTTCTTCATTCACATTATTACATTTTCTGAAAATTCTAAAATTATATTGTAACGTATGAATCATGATGAAGTTCTGGCGTCAGCTGTTAAATTTCAAAATGAATGCTAACAGAGTCAGAGACAACAGAAATTTATTTTGTCTCTGTCTAAAAAAGGACAGACGCATATCGCTGTCCTCTCGGGCTCTGGAGTCAAGTAGTGGGGGTAATTTTCAATCCCTTACCAGTAAAGTTGCCTATGTGTGCATTTGACATATACTTTGTAGGTTATATCTCACCCGCACCGCCAAACCGATTTAGAGTTAAACATGGAAAAAATTACATATTTTGTCACTTTTGATGCATGTACACGCAGAATCCTCAGCGGAAGGCTCTCATGAACAGGACGTTGAGGAGCAGCAAGACAATCGTTTATCGTGGGATCAGATGACGGAAATACTGAAAATGTATTTAACGGAAGGAAAATACAAGGAGGCGTTCAGGCTCTGCAAGAAGTCCGGTAGGGACAAGGAGGAATTCCGGCTGTTAGGGTACGAGATACTCGGATTTCTTAAGACGCATAATAAATACAAAAAAAAAACTCCTTTAAAACAGGGAAAACAACGCCATGGAGGAATCGGAGATGTACCTCCTGGTGTTCCACTCGGTATTCTTCGACATCAACAAGCTGGTGGAGGAGATGAGGGCGGGCGGCACCGTCAAGATGACCGAGGAGGATTTCAAGAGGATGGAGGCGATGGAGACGCACGTCGACTTCCTGGAGGACTGCGTGGGTTTCCTGAGGCTGATCGACAACGCCATTCCCATCATGATCGAGCTGTTGGAGACCACCACCATCGGGGACATGCACGAGGCCGTGGAGTTCTTCACGTCCGCCTATCAGTTTAGCATCGATAATTCCATGCGGGGAATCTTGGGTAAGCGTATGTCGGTTTTTCGCCCCCTTCGCAGTGTCGCCAACATGAAATTTTTTCACTTTTCGTGATTCTAAAAACAGTATTTGTGGAAAATATTAGATGTGCTCGGCTGACTTTATGCATTTATTTCATTCGTACGATATTGGTTGAGAAGACCCCCGCGCCACTCATGGAATTAACTGCATTTGACGCTTGAGGTAGAAAAACATTGGCGGACATTTGAAAACATGCCCCTGCTCCGGTGAATTGCTACAGTTCGTACAATATTTGTTGAGGTATAATTCCAAGAAAAGGATAAGCCAATAAAGTTCAGTCATCGGAACTACTGTAACAATTTACAGAGGCAGGGGCGTGGCTTGAAATTTTCCGCTAATGTCTTTCCCTGTCATGATTAGTTTCAACTGAATATTAAGGATCTTTTCTCGTCAGCGATGCTGAAGATCATGCAGCGCAACGAGCAGGAGCGCAGGGACTGCATCATCAACGCCTTCAAGACGATTTACCTGAACACCGATTGCACTAACACAGAGTAAGTTTGTTCACGTCGAGTCGTCCCTAGACTTACTGATACTTAATGAAAATCGGATTTTAGACTCGTTCAAAATTGGCGAGTTTAAGCCACCAAAGAAATAGCGGCTAGGTCTTCACGAATTTTACTATATTTTTGTTGCAACGTTTCATCTTTAAGCAACCATCATCAGTTTATTATTATTTTTTTAATCCAAAGCAACACAATTAATATTTTTACGCGAAATAACAAATTCTTAACAAGACTCATCGTCATTCAACAAAAAAAAAAACAAAAAAAAAATACATTAAGAAAAAAAAATCCGCCCACGACAAATACTTCATCGCTGACGTTGCTTTGTTAACCCCTCAGGGAGCACTGCCTGACGATAGTCTGTCGCCTGATACGGCTCGTCAAGACGGTTCCCCTCAACAACATCGACGACTTCCAACTAATCATATCCGAGTGGACGGCCAAGGGCATCCTCGACAACAGCATCATCGACATGTTCTGGCAGTACTTCACGCAGAAGATCAGCTGCACCGAGGGGGACTCGCACGCCGCCACGAAACTGCTGCGCATGTGCGCCCTCGGCCGTAAGACCATCGTCACGCGGAACATCAAGCTGGTGGCGACGGTGGCTTTCGGGGAGCGAGGCACGCGCGACATGCAGTTCCTGGGTAGCGCTTGCGAGTTGCTGTCGGTCGCCGGCAGGGAGAAGATCGATATTACCAGCAAGAACCCGCCCTACAAGATAAAGCCGGGCGATGAGATATTCGGTAGTCTGTTGGAGATACTGGGGAAGAAGTTTTTCGAGCCGGTGGAGTACTACAACAAGGCGTTGTTCGGGGGAATAGATTTCATTTACAAGGTAAGCGAGTAGGAGGTAGTGAGTTTCGTCAAAAATTTTTGTTTAGGACTTTAGGTAAAAAACATACAGGGTGTCTCAGTTTTAATCTACGAGACTTCGGGAGCAGATAGTACAACGAAAAATAATGGTACTTTGTCGTATATACGTATTTCGAAATTTCAACCGTTTTCGAGATACAGGGTGTTAATAATTAAAACAAAAATTTGATTTACTGTAAATATCTTCTGAAATAATAGAGGTGTTTGAACTAAATTTGATGTACATTATATTGGGTCAAGCTTCCATAAAATATTGCAATATCAACACTTTTGTGCAACCAGTGGCTGAAATATGCGAAACTCATTGATAGCAAAATAATAATTGATTATATTTTATGAAAAAGCATGGTACTGGGAACAAAAAATGCCTCTCGCATTTTGTCGATATCTGTCTCTGGTTTACAGCAAATTGGATTTTTAATTTAAATAAAAAATATAGTAGCATCTTTCGAATCAGTATTATTATAGTCTTTCCGAAGTCAGTTGAACATGTAAAAAAAGCCTAACAATAAAATTTAATGAGTTTCATAGGCGTCCCTAAATAAGTTTTTTGCTAATGGCAAAAAAAAATTATAATTATATACAGGGTGAGTCAGTTTTTTGTAGACAAACTTTAACAGGAGATAGAACACATGTTTTTAAAAAGAAAAGTTCCTATAAACATATGTCGTAGAAGGCTTTGTTTCCGAGATACAGGGTGTTAAATATATTTTTTTTTCTCGAATTTTCATTATAACTTATAAACGAATGCTTAGATTTTTTTCATGTTTGAGGAATAATGCCTATTAATTATGGGGCATAAAACAAGCGATAAGAATGATCAGAAACTTGCACAGTGGCGGAGTGAATGGGGTGCTCAACCCCTTTCTTAAACAGAACTTCTACGCCAATGACTATTTTTGAAAAAAACTGTTATCATTATCTACATACAGTTTAACAAAAATAATGTCCCTTCTTCTGTTTCGAAATTCCTGTGCTTTTCCAAGTTATTTTGATTTTTAGTGTTTGATGTGGTACTAAATTTATTTATTATTATCAATTATCGGCTATATATTTAATTCTTTCAATGAAACCTACCTAAATATGGTTTGTTAAGTATTCTAAAAAGCCGAAATATCTTATTCTTTATCTCTTTCCAATGCAGTTAAAATAAATATTTGTTATATCAAGCCATACTCAAATACAATACTTTTGTAAGTTGAAATCTGTTTAGTACACTAATTTTTACAATCCTTATTTATTATGTGCTGCGTAAATACTAATGTACTGCAACTAAATTACA